CATTTCTGAAACGTTCTTGTTGTATGCACTCTTCAAGCTACTGTGCTATTTTATCTCTGACGATCTTGTTTATTCATGGGTTTTTTGAGCCTGTGTCTTTGAGCGCTTCAAAGAATGCGCTATTGCTGATCAAATTGCACCAGACTGTCAGTTGCCACAGTCGGCCTGCCAGGGTACCAAACAGAATTGCTCATGTCAGGAATGTTTTGGATTGCGACGCTTACGTGGAACCTCGAAATGCATGTGAATTATGTGGTTCGGCGTTGTGCCATGATCATTTGCTAACCGTTTTCTCTTCGTTTGTCTTCTTTTTCTCCCTTACATGCCTCCTTCCTTTTTGAGTCATGCATGCCAAACAAAGCGTTTTGTAGCAGTGTTGCTCTAAAGCGCCTCTGACATTTTGCGTGTAATCGTGCAGATATTGTGCGAGGCACCCTTCGTCCGCCGTAGCACATATTCCCGAGCTATTAAACTCACAGAACTACATCAAATGCACCTCCTGAAACAGGCCTTTGCGGCTTGCGTCTGTCTGCGGAGATTTTCCAGTGTGCAGCGGAGAAACACATCACAGATAGCACATGCACACACCAAGCACGCCCCTTTGCTCTGTGAACCAAAGAGCAATTTGTTGCTGTGTTTGTTGGCTAACGAGAGCGTGCAGCAAGGCGGAGGCACGACATCACGTCTGGCAGCGAGAGGCTAGGCAGTTGGCAGCAGGGAGGGGGTTTGCGGGAGTGTGTGCGCGTATGGTTTGCATTGTACAAAGCATTGCGCCATCGCATCTCTGAGCATTTCTTTTGGCATGCATTCTACACACCGTTGTGACGTCGTGTCTCTGACGATCCTGCGTCTGCATGCGCGTTTTGTGCTCGTATGTGGGTGAGCTTCAAAAGATTTGCGGTGGCTGCTGACATTGAACCAGGCAGTCAGTTACCACCGTCGGCTTTTCAGGGCGCAGGAGCAAATTGTTCATACTAACGCGGCGCTTACGTGTATACTTGTGGTGCACGTGTATTATGCAGTTTGGCGTGCTGCCATGCGCATTTGTGAATTGTTTCGTTTTTTAGGGCTGGTTCGTGCTGCGTTACGTGCCTCCTTCCTTGTTGGGTCGGTCACGGCAAAGCACCTCCTTGACACTGTGGCTATCAGGCGCCTTTGCAACATTGTGCAGAATCTCGTTGTATTTGTGTTGTTAGGTCAGGTAATAATTTGCTGCACCAGCTCTAGATGGTATGTCTTGACAATGTGCATGAAGTACTGTCCTTGCGAAGGTTTCACAAACTTCCAGGGATGAAATTTATCAACGTGGGCATATAACTAGCTCAATCATTTTATTGGTTCCACAGCAAAAACAACGAGTCCCGAAACCATAGCTTAAGCTGAAGTTTCAATGGTGGCTACCAGAAACGATCGATGCCTTTCCAGAATGCGCTGATCGTGTTACTATTGAGGCAAATGCAAGTTATGGGAGAAGGCGTATTTGCAATTCCCTTTTGGTTTGTTTGTTCTTCGTATTTTGACGCTGTGTTCAATTCCCGAGTTGCTGGGGCCTCAAACGATTTCCATTGCCCCCATTCGTGGGTCGATCCATTCACCTACCGGATAGTAGTTGAGGACTCTTCTCCTCTTGATTTGTTAAGCAGAAGATTTTTTCGAAACGTAGCTTCTTGGTTTTTCCATCTTTGTCAACCTTGAGCGTATGAGTTTTCTATTTGTAGTCCCATTGTGAGGGGCGCCATGAAAGCATTCACCGTTCATGAACAAGGCTGCAGTAACTGCTTGGTTTAGTGCCCACGCTGGTTTGACCAAGTAGTAACTAGTCACCTAGCTCTTCCCTGTTTAGCCGTAAAATTAAAGGAGTGCTCAGGAGTCCGATGTAATGCGAGCAGCCTACAAATCATGAAGAATTGGGCTGTTCGACCAACCCTAACTTGCCGCAGCATTACAGGAAGAGAAGTGTTGTTGCCCACTGGAGGTGTTGCACAGCCATGTACAGAACTTGCTTTCCAGATGTGTACAACTGTTTCTCCTCCTCGCTCTTCTTGCCTTTGTTTGGTGGTGGGCTCTAAGTTTTCCTTCCCAGTTGCAAGCTCAGCACGACGGGATCGGCGGTGGATTTCCTGCCGTTGCAAGCCAGCCATTTTGATACAAAGGTCACGCTCACATCCTCGCAGCGCTGTGTCTAGACTTTTGTCGTGCTTCTACTTTCCTTCAGTGATTTCCAATTGGTCAAATAGTTATCTTGGCATGTTGATGGCGTCGGCGTCGTACATCAAACATTCTACAAGAACATAGTGAGATGTTCGGCATAGAGCACCAGTGCAGGAGTGGAGCTAATTTCCGTGATGAGACCACGTTGATGCGAAAGGGTACCTTTCTATAATCACTTTTTGGTCAAGTTCAATTCTGCACGTGACACTGCATAGCCTGTTGAGACAAATACTCGACAATACCTTGCAGGCGCCATTAACATGAAGTGTTTTCTCGTGGCATAAGACATCTCGTCTCTCTTCTCAGTGTGAGCGACAGCCTTTGCGGCACGACGACGGCATACTGTTCGCTGCTCATAGCAGACGGATGTCACCGGCATCCGCCATAGTACATCGGGTCCTTCATAGCCACAATCTGGCAAGCATACGCACCTACTGTACAAACAAAACGAGGACTGGTGACTGCGATACGCAAATTTTAAAGGCGCATTACAGCGAGGTGGGTAGCTGCACCGGCACTGGGAACAGCACGGGAGTGTTTGTCAGCGCCTTCACCCGAGTAAGTGCTCATCGTCATCTGGGCAGGGGCGGCACGTCAAGTTACGTTGCAGTTCTGGAAAACGTCCAGTCTACTCCTGCATACATGCCGGAAGGTTTGATGCCTGCGGTGCAGAAACACCCGCAGTGTGCGAGGCGTGCCGTCGTCGAAGTTCATCGGGATATGTCTCCAACGAGGCTGGTGAAAAGTAGTCGCCGCAACCAGATGCACAGCAAAACGAAACACTGCGGCACAAGCTACAAAGGGCGGGTCACAATGTTTGAAGAGTTAATTGCTTATCCTAGTAGCAGGCAGCGGTCGATCGTCGTGGTGGTACGGTGCTTGCTGCAGGGTGACTGCAGGTTCAACGTAAAGTGCAGATCAAAAACTTAGTTGGCCGCTGCAAAGAATTTCATGGATATACTGCAGCACAAAACCCACGAAGCAACTTACTTAGTTGTGTTCCAAAGGCAAGTTATCGCTGAAGACGGGCATCGGCGGAACCAGCCAGTGGGAGGACCTTTTCCATCCCCGCAGTGAAATTCTAATGATTTGCTTCGATTATCCACGAATCATAGGGATGGCATTTTGATGCAGAAGGAAGTTGTAATGGCGTAGACTGCCGGGAGGGACAGAAAGGTGCTATGGCACCACTGTTGGGAAGCAAAGGCTAATGCCTTGGATTAATGAAGAAGCTAAGGAAGGCCTTCCTTTTCTTATTCAGACAGGGCCACCGACTTGGTCAAGGCTGCAATTTGAAAACTAAGCCAGGTGGTATCATCAAGCTGGGAATCCGTTGTAGACCAGCACAGCAAGAACAAGGGGAAACGACTTTTATGAAAATATGGTTTTGAGAACTCGAACGGAAGCGGTCTTTTCAAAACAATTGTAGACGTTACGCGGCCGATGCGTCGGTAGTAGAGAATATTTCATAGAACGCCCAAGTTGTGGGCTGCGCAGCATCGTTGGCGCTGCAGAGAGCGCAGTGTACTACATTTGGGGGCTGTTCCGGGAACTAAAAACTATTTTTTTCGGACCTGAGGGTAGAAATACTTTGCTTTGATAATTCGCACCTAGATATCTTAGCTGAGTAAGGAATGCACCCACGCAACGGACGCGTAGTCGGACCTATGCAACAGGAGGCCTCTACCATGTCAGTAAACAAATTGCCCAGTGGAACACCAACCGAACATAGACATGCTACTCCGAAACCCACTGTGGCAGAGCGGCTGCACGGGCATAAGGAGACACCCCAGCAGGTGGCACCTATAGCAAATGTTAACTGCATCCCAGGGGGCGGTCCGTACGTCTTGTGGGACCAACTCCACTCTGCGATGGCTGTGATAAAGAATGTTATAGGCGGGTCCGGAGGATCGAGCGTAACGTCGCCTATACTCCCTGAAGACGGCAGTACTATGCAGGCCTTTTTAATGCGTATCGAATGACGGTACACCCAGATGGGATTGGAGACCATAGAGTGGGGGAACACACGTATCGACCATCTTGTGGGTCTGGCTCTGACGTATTGAATTATAGCTACAGCGAACTATCGACCTAAGCAACTGGGCAACTGTACAGCGCCAGCTTCTGGAACGGCTCGACAAGACAATGTCGCAGAGTCAACTGCTAACGGAGTTAGGTGAAGTACGATGGAATGAAAACCCTAAAGAGTATACGGACTAGTTTGCGGCTGTAGCGGATCGTGGAGTTGGGATCGTCCCCGACGAACTCGCTGACTTCTACTGCGCTGGGCTACCAACTGACCTCCATCTTCTCATTACAAATAATGGGCTGGTGAAGTATTCCTCCTGTGAACAAGCGGCGACAGCAGCAGCGCGACTCTATGAACCTAAGCAGACTGTGCTAGAGCTACGAGAAAGGTCTAGTCGAGCGATAAGAGCTGATACAGAGGCAAATGCAACCCATCGGAAGCAGGAAAATGAAACTAGGCCTGGAGAAAACTCCGGGAACTGCTACGAGTGTCAGGGTCGTGGACACCCCCGGCACGAGCTTGCCTCAGCAAAGGGGAACGGGGAACGGACCAAGTGGCCAGGTGAGACCTGCAAGAAGTGTGGAGGTGTTGGACACTATGCTCGTGACTGTCCTACACACGACCGAGGTCGTGCCTAGCCGGAAAACAAGAGCAGCAGGCAACCTATCCGTCCCAGCACTGAGAAAACCGAACAGTTAAACCGCGAGGCCTAGGCGTTGTTGGAGACGAGCGTTCTAGGCCACGTAGCCATGGCAAAGGGATGATGCGTGCCGTAGCGACAGGACCTAATGCCATTCCAGTCTCCATAGAGCAAGGGAACCGCCTCCTCAACACGGTAGAGGAAACCAAAGTGAGCGATGAGGACGTGCTGGGGACTCAGCCCCCTTCGGAAACGCGGTTGGAGTCTGGGCCGGTGCCGAGGCGGAGCGAGGAGGCTCCGTACGCGAAGACGGATAGCAGCGGGAAGTCTGCAGGAGCGACAGAAGAAGACTGCAGGCCAGAAGCGATAGAGACTATGCCGCACTGGTGGTGGGAAACTAGTGCGAAGGAATCTTGCAACCAAGGAGGAGCCTTGTGTTACGTGGGTGCAACAGCGGTACTTCGCGTTGAGCTTGCAGGAAGTTCATGCGAGGCACTTTTAGACATAGGCGCTTCGAAAAGTTTCATTAACCCTAAAACAGTCGAGCGATTGCAGCCGAGGGTGCTGAGACTTCCAGAAGAGCATAAGTTCACTGTTGCTGCAGGTGAACAATTACGCATTGATCGAGTTGTGACTTGGTTGACGATGTGGTGTGGACACGCATGTTTTTCCGGGGACTTCTTAATGGGAACCGTTCCCTATGATTTAGTTTTGGGTTTGGACTGGATGACTGAGCATAAGGTGACCTGGTATTTTCAGTCCTACAAGCTCCGGAGCTATGTGAATGGCCAGTGGTGCAAGTTACTGTTGTTAGGACTCTGGCGCAACAGGCGCCCAAATCAAGGCGGCAAATGGTGGTACGTTCCTCCGCGCTGCCGCATTTGCGGCACACATTTGGACCCACGGGTAGGTTCCCCATAAAGGAAGAATTTTGACAGGCGCAGGAGAACATACCAGCTGAAGTGTCAGCGAGGCTGCACTGGTTCGACCTATGCCCCAAATTTTGCTCCCATCACCATAATTGGAAAGCACGATGCTGCCTGAAGAGAGCGAAACATGAGCCTCCTGGCCGACTATCAAGCAATAAATGCGCTTAGAGTTGCCCTCAATTTTCCTCGAATTCATACAAACATTATTCTGGATGTTGGTGGAATTAAAGTGCATTTGTCCGTTCCATATGAAGGCAGGTTTCCATCAAATCCGAATGACCACGGGAAACCTTTGGAAGGCAGGCTTCTACACAGGGAGGTATCCAAGGATTATGGCGATTACTTCGGCCTCAAAGCTGTTCCATGTACCTCCCAAGTCAGCATCAATTCCTATCTTGAACAGCCTTTTAGCACATGGCGCTGTTGCCTCTCTTGTTGAGGCGCTGATCTACAGCGCTATCCTCGCTGCACACGCTCAGCTTCAGCAGCAAATGCCTGGCATTGTCCTCGAGCAGCAGCTCTACCCTTTGTTCTGCAAGAGCAAATTCGCAAAGCAAGAGCTTACCTATCGTGGCTGTACTATACGTGCTTAGTGTACACAGCCTGCAGCGAGCAAGGTACAAACTATTCTTACATCGCATGAGCCGTTCACTAACGAGACAAAACTTCACCAGTTCCTCGGCACATTAAGCTCTTGCCACATGTGTATGCACCGGCACTACGCAAAAGTCAATCTCATTCGCACGTGCACACCTTTTCAGTGGACAAAGTTTCAAAAGTAGGGGCATAGCTTTTCAATGGAAAGCGATTCACACATACGCCATACAGCGTCTTAAGGAGCGTTCAGTCGACTACACTATTCTGCAGGTCCCCGATGCCAGGACGCCTCCCGAGCTGTACAATGATGTTTCCCGCTAATGGATAAGCAGCGCCTTACCCGCGTCTGTACTAATGGCATACGATGTTTTTCGTGCTGGGGTCCCCTGAATTCCTCACTTTCATGTTTTGTGCTCACCATGATCATGCCACGGTAAAAAAGCAGAAAAGAATTTTTCTGGCCCTCACTTGGCATAAGTATTGTCAAACCATGCTTGCTTTATTTGTAGCATACGTGGAATCTTGTGTTTATCACTCACTGAAGTCATCCTGATTTGTCCAATCGTTACTCATTCCCTCTCTTCTCTGGAATCAAGTCCGTTAGAATCGACCAGCTTGCCTTCCACTATCTCGTGCCACGACACTATTTTAGTGACTGCAAAGCCTCTAGGCAAGAGAGCTCACGTTTTTATTACCAATAAGGTTCTCAGAGAGACACTGTTACATTGCTTTCCGACCGTCTCGTTCGCTACTACGGCCTTTCTGAGGATCCCACTTCTAAGCGAAACCCCCAATCTCAATTTGGGCTCTGGCAGCACCTGAGGATCTAATTCAGCATCAAACGACCACTGTCTTCTTAGGCCGAGCAAACATGTGAACCGTGCATTGGAACAAACGCTTCGTCCAAATATTGAACTCGGCGAGCGTGACTCAGTGTAGTGCGCAGCGCCTACTGCTGCGACTACGCTGCTACCTGCCCCTCGAGCAGGCCTACAAACTACACCTAGCGTAGGCCCATTTCCTGGAAACTGTAGCTTAATTTCATCGAAATACAATAATTCTTAAGTGTTTCAAAATATGTCTGTTCGGTTCGCCTCACTCTGGGAGCTCGCCTCCTACGTGTAGTGCTGAGGCACTACAATGGGGCTGGCTAGTGTCCTAGAGAGGATAGCTAGCTAGCGACCTGCAAGGGACCGCAACACTGGAGGGGGACAGGACCCGCCCAATATGAAAAAAATAAGAAAAACCGTCTTTCAGTTCTAATGAAAACGTGAAATGTGCGGAAATCGTGTGGAGACTGGGGCTGGCGATAGCGCCGGCACCAATGCGGACCTCCCCCCCTAGGGTCTAGGACGCAAGCTCCGAGAAGGGAGCGAATCGATGAGACAGACTTGAGACACTTTTTGAATTGTCGTATTTCGACGGAATAAAGCTATAGAGACCAAGAAATGGGGCTATACTAGGTGTAGTATGTAGACCTGCAGAGGGGCAGAGAACAGCGTAGTCGCAGCAGTAGGCGCCGCGCACTACATTTGGGGGCTGTTCCGGGATTGAAATCTTTATTCTTTCCGGACTTGGGAGTATAAATACTTTGTTTTAATGCCTCGCACTTAGAAATCTTTGCTCGGTAAGGGATGCACCTCCGCAACGGACGCGTCATCGGTCCCACACCACAGGAGACTCCTACAATGTCAGTCAACAGAATGCCGAGCGGGACACCAGCCCATCACCGCCACGTGACTCCGAAACCCGCCGTGGCAGAGCGGTCACATGAGCATAAGGAGGCGCCCCCGCAGGAGACACCTTTGCCCAATGTTATGCCAGGGGACAGTCCCTTCATCGCCTGGGACCAATTCCAGTCTGCAATGAGTGTGATTAGAACTGTTATGGGGGAAACCGGAGCGTCCGGCGCAACGACTCCTATACTACCTGAAGACGGCAGCACTATGAAGGCCTTTCTGACGCGCATCGAGCGCCGGTACACCCAGATGGGACTGGAACCGCGCGAGTGGGGAAATACACTTATAGACCACCTTGTGGACCCGGCTCTAACGTATTCGATGTATCTACAAGAAACCATCGACCTAAGCGACTGGGCAACAGTACGGCGCAGGCTTTTGGAGCGGTTTGACAGAAAAATGTCGCAGAGTCAATTGTTAACGGAGTTGACAAAGGTACGGTGGAATGGTGACCCGAAGGAATACACCGACCAGTTTGCGGCTGTGGCAGAGCGGGGGTTGGGTCTAGCCCCCGACGAAATCGCGGACTACTATTGCGCCGGGATACCGACAGACCTCCATCTTCTAATAACCAACAACGGACACGTGCATCATAGGGAAGCCCTGCTTGTCGTTGCCGCCGGTTATGCGGAAGAGGTACCCCTTAAATTCCTCCCCCAGAGAGTCGCCTGGGACCTCCC